CACGGCTGTATATATGGACTTTCTATCGAATCGAATAAACGACCTCGAACGTTTGAACAACGCGCAGGCACGGTTCGAGCTTTGCCAAACGTCAAAGGTGAAGCAATGTTAAAAAGAGAAGCATTCGGTAGATGTACGACAGGCGGTGTATTAAATGAAGCGGAGCTAAACAAAAGAGTTCGGTATACGTAGTGTAGGGTAGAGAGTTCGGAGTACACGTACACACATACGTACATACACGCGGGGGCGTGTGTGGATCGAAAGGGGAAGAAACGGAGCAGACCGAGAGAAAATCGTTCGCAGGGGAAGACAGAGAGAAGCGTTTTCAACGTGACGAAGCAGCGGGGCTTTATTGCTTGCCGCGAAAAAGGGTGGCTTAAAAGCCTCGGGGAAAAAATCTCATTTCGATGCAGCCGTTCATTCTGCGGCCGTTAGCCGCTTTCTCGATACACCGAAAAAAAGTTCCTTTGGTAATCGTGCCGGACCTCATACTACCTCTCTCTCTCTCTCTCTCTCTCTCTCTTTGTGTGTATATACGTTTCACATCTTCTTTCGCTTTCCTCATTCACAGAGAATGAATCTCGCTCAAAACGTTAATCGCGAATAAGAACAATTCGTCAGTAGAATTTAACGGTGAAACAACGTTTATCAGATATATTTCATTACGTTGATTGAGATGTTTGTTTCGGCTAGAGTAGGAGGAAACAGAGTACGGCCAAAATACTATACAGATAAATCTGAACGTTCAATCAAAGAGGGGAGAATACTAATTGTAATTTGTTCATTCAATAAATGTTCAGTGACTAGACGTAGTGAAAATGTTTTTTGAAAGAGACTGACAATGAGCCTCTTTAAATGAATGGAACATTAAAGATTACATTGTGAATCTTCCTAATATGAATCTTTTAATACGAACGTTGAGAATTTTACGAATGTACGCATCATAAAAGGACACAACGAAGCTTAATGAACTGCGACTTAATCCGCTCTGAGTCCTAATAGATTCTTCTCTTTCAGGCACCAAGAATATATTGTTACGAGGATTTTTAAATCGTAGGAAAGAGAATATACGTTGACGAAAAATCTCATAGTAGCGACTCACGAGAGCGTTTCATAATTTACTAAACACTGGAACAGAATTACTGTCGTATTGATAAAACTACTACCGTAAATCCATATAGTAGTCACTTGAAAACTGAGACCTTTTAATGAATTTCTTATGTAAAACATTTTCAATTAATTGTTTGAAAAATGAAAATAAGATTGGATTTCTAAAAACACTGCTTCATGATTCTAGTTTAGAAAGAGTATATTAGATAGCGATGATGGGAATGTTGATGATTGGCCAATTTCGTTCAACATTATTACCTTGTTGGTAATTTGAAAACAGCGCTCGAATGAATTCTTAGCTATTGCCTGAGGAATGCACCGTCGTTTCTTGCAAGGAAGATTTGAATCAAATAAAGGCATAACTTAGCGACAAAGAAAAGTAAATGAGTATTAATTTGCTTCGCTGAAAGAGACTTTCCTCCTCTCATTTTGCTACTCTAATATTTTGTACGTATATCTTGTACTACGAGAAAGACGTACTTAATATTTTAGTAATTTTTGCTTAGAAAATGGTAGTTTAATATAAAACTGTATTATTTTTACACTTGTATAAAGTACTGTTTGCCTACAAACTTTGGTAGCGATATCTGATGTCTCAAATGATACATATATTCTTGTAATAAACAAGAGTCTTGCAAAAAACAAGTACTTACTTTAAGAAAGAGTAAATTTGTTTCTCTTCTGCATAAACAACAGTAATACTTCCTTAGATCTTTCGTATTTTTTCCTTATTAAATTTTTGCAGAGTTCTATGTATTGAGAATAAACTTGTAGTGTTTACTTAATAAATATATCAAACGGTAGCTTTGAACCTGTTAGCTTGAAAAGGAAGAACGAAAGACTTTCTGATGTTATCGGCTTTCAGAATGTAATCGAAGCGAATGAAATCTTCCTTGTAAATCGCCAGTGTCTAGCGAGAATTACGCACTGCACGTTTGCACTGCTAGCCTCTGACTGTTAGCTCCCTTTGAATGTCGCATGTTGCCGAAAGACGAGAGCACCGATACACCGATGTGTGTGTATTCATCTCTTTTTTTTTTTCAAATTTTTTTCTAACTAGTTGATGAATCCGCGGATAATATTTTCCGTCGACACAGTCATTAAAATAGAGAAGCATAAGCCCTCGTGACATTCACAGAACGGTCATAGCCATACTGATATGTCTCATGAGACTCATGAATCAGTGCATTCGATTTATTATCATGAACGCTGTTGCCATTCATATCTTTTTATTGAATCATCTCATCACGCCTAATCTATCGCTAAATATAGACTACGTAAGACTATGTTATATGAACTACGTTTAATTACTCTTGTTTCCCAAAGAAAGAGACTCTTCGAATTGCTTTGTCCCCTCAAGATCACAATCGTCGCGTTTATCAGTCAACGTCTGCAATGAACGAGTACCTATTTAGAAATAATGACACCTTATTGAAAAGACACTCGTTCGATCGACGTGGTATTTTTTCTTCAACAAAATGATGCTTTTATATGAATTATTTCATTTAAAGAACTCAATAATCTCCAGTCCCGGGGAATACGTTAGAATATACAGAAAGTCGAGTAGGTGATGTGGTGGTCGAAAGAAGCGCGATTTCATCGAGTCAGAACGTATTCCGTGAAACCGGTTCGCTTCTGAGATTCGCTTCCGGCCACGGTTGCTCGCTTTAAATCCGCACCGGATATTATACGTCCGAGCCGAGTTATCGATGCGTTTCTTGCTACATACATATTATATAAATACGTGTATGTATACACGTATGCATAACACGAGGTAAAAATTTCTTGAGAGAGCCACGACATCGGCAAGATTGATCGCGTCGGTCGATCTCGTTCTCCCACACGCAACGATGTGATCTTCGAGGTGTTCATATTCTTTTATATGGTGTAAAACTGTTTACAGGACTTTTTCGTCGGGGTGGCCGCACCTCCGACCGCAACAGTAAAAACTTTAAAAATGTGATAGAAAATTGCGGACAGAGAAGACGTCTGAACGAATATTTTGCAACCCGATTATTCGATTAACTATGATCATTCTGTTGAGATTCAGTTAAAAGTGTAAGGCTAGTTAGTCATAAGATTTTTACAGTTTCTTTTTCTTGTTTTTCCAAATTTTTTACTCTGACCACTACACGTATCTTCGTTCACGGCCTGGTTAATTTACGGGATCGGCATATCTCTTGCGGGGAACGTACGCGCCCTGTAGGACGCGACGTAGAGCCGCGCGTGTGTCCCTCGGCCGTGAGTAATCGTCGTTCGATAAGCGTGCGCGTCGCGCGTAATTCGAACCACCGCAGTGGCATCAACGTGCGAGAGAGGGTCGAAAAAAGAAAGGGAAAGAGAATTTCCGTCCGGTTTTTGTAATTTTCGAGGCACGGCCGATATTAGCCGGTGTCGTTGTCACGACTAGGCACACCGGAGCGTAATCTATTTAATCGCGCTGGTTATTATCGCGATAACGATTTTCATCGGGGGAGCACGATTGCCGGCAGCCAACCGTTTAATTGCATGCCGATATTAAATTACGATCAGCCACGTGTCCGATCTCCATTACACCGATATTAACGTACGGTGTTCTCGTGCAGTCGACCTGGACAAAAGAACCAGGGATGGCAATTACATACACGGTGTAACCCTCCTCGTTCGAGCGGACTGCCTTTTCTTTTATTTCTTTTTACATAGCTAGTATCCCTTTTCTCTCCCATCTTCGTGCTCTCTTGTATGGCAGTCGCGTTCGCGAATATCGTTCCGAGACACGAAACCAGACGAACGATTACTACCTTTTAAACGACACATTAAATCGGATAACTTCTAATACAAGAAAAATTGAAACCAGAATATTCACTCGTATAAAGACTCGTTTAATAAAAATGTACAAATTCAGTTATCTGTAACGTTGCAATGAATGATCATAATTGAAATGCCATTTGGTTTATCCCGATCCGATTTCTGATTCCGGATATTCGTCGTGTAAACTGCAATCTTTTCGGCGCCGTTATTGTTGTCTTTATCGCAATGTACGGATCTCTCGCTTGCACCTTGACCCAGTTATTCTACCCACCCCGGCCAGACAGCCAGACGGTGTTTTCAGGAAAGTGACACTTTGATCCTAAAAACAGAAGTGGGACGGGATTCCCGAGAATTCCGCGCAACCCTAAAACGGCAGAACTTTAAATGTTCATATTTCCGGAACGAATTGAGATAGAGGGATGAGCCAAAAGCGATTTTTCTCGTCTGGGTTTCTCTATCAACTGCGTGGGTTTCCAATCGAGAATTCTCCTTCTGCTAAATATACTCCTTCCGATAAATATACGTATCTTTGACTGTTTACGACTTAATAAAATGAGGAATGGTGGTCAGAATTGTGTTTATTTTTTAACATTATATAGAAGACAAATAGTACTGGTTGAATTTTACAATGAAATCTTATGATCCTTCATATTAACAGAAGAATAATTGGGTTGAACAGAATTTTAACTTCATCAGGGTTAAAAACAATTACTTGAAGTATTATCGATTTTTTTACTGCTAAATTACGTGGAAATTAAGTATTGTCTAAGGTATTAGATTAATTCGTTTCTATCCTAGGCGAAGGAGACGTCAGAGATATATTCCTCGAAAGAAAGATAATAAGGTAGATGATCAGTAATCCCTAATTCGAGAGAGAGTCGAAAAGATCAGTTTTCCTCAGCTTAATATATCCAGGCATAAAGAGCATTCTTATCCTCGATGAAACGAGAGAAATAGAAAAAGAAACAAAAGAAACCGTATAATATGCCGATTCGAATTTTCTATCAATTGTGTACATGTGTTTATTACTCTTATATTGACTCAATGATGTTATTCTGTGGTGCTTTGCATGTCTCTATTGGACTCTGCATGTCGTATAGGGCATCGTAAGTACTTATTAAATGAACTCATCAGCGACTACCGTATACACACGACACTCGATTGAAAGATAAACTCTTATTGTATTTGTATTTAAATATGAAACTCGAATTGCGATGAGTTTGCAACATGTCGAGCTGGCCGATTCTAGATCCAGGCCCGGTTCGTCTATGCTCGTCGCATTAGTTGTTTGATATTTTTTTTTTCCTCTAGAAAAACGTGGCTAAGGTAGCGAGGAGGAGTAAGGACAGTCGGCAGAACTCGAGCCCTAGTACGCACGCATAATTTTTGTTACGCCGTTGAAGGAACTGTTAGTTCCAGATTTCGAGGCTCTGGCGGCGGTTCCCCAGTCGTACTTGCTGCGACTGAAATTGTTCGACGCTTCCAAGTGTATAACGTGCCCGCGTTTTGGGAGTCGTTCCTTCAGTATTGCTGTTTGATGTACATGCACGCGCGGCGGTGTTCCCAGCTAGCTGCAATTCTGATCGTCAAAACATGATGATCCAAAACGTTCGACGGTTTATGCTCGAGAGCGTCGAACAGTTTCAGTCGTAGATTTCGTTCAAGATATTCTATCAACTCTTGTAACATAGATTCGATTTTATAATTAAATAGTATATGCGTAAAACGATTGATAATTTTCTGAAGACCGACTGTACTTACTGGAACTTTGACTTTTAGATTTCATAGAATAACTAAAATCAAAGTGACTACGATAAAACGTAAGATAGGATTTCTCGTTCCGTTCGGTTGGATGATTTCATGAAATAAATACAAGCCAAAGAGACATTTCTTTGGAACGTATTCAGTGCAGTAAATAACTAAAAATATGAGATTGATATGGTACTGAACAATTATTGCCTTGGTTAAATATAAATTATCAACAATAAGAAGTACGAGGAAACTTCATTTAATTTAAGTAGCTACGCCGTTGTGAACACGAAAATTTCCTTCAAGATATCGAGAACAAACGTTTTCCAGTCTTCATATCTGTTAATTAAAATCATTCATTTCTGTTTCGAGCAATCCTGTAAAGTAATTTAAACCAGGGAACGAAGTCTTTTTGTTCGCTTTAATACGCGATATACAATAACAACTCGTTCCGCTGCATTTATATCTTTTTGGCTTGATTAATGGAAGAAAGCTAATATTAATACCGACGTAACGAGAGTCCTTCCAATGATTGGTAAAGTTTTTCATTTCAAATAAGTCAACTTCTTCGTTTTCTTTATTCTGATTTCTCACCCTTACGTTCCGAGACGAGCTTGTTTGCAACAGGTTCACATCCATTTTCTTTTATTTCCCTCACGAAACCTAGACGTAGAATCGTATTATTATTCAAATCATGTTATGCATCGATGTTGATTCGACGATATCCAGCCCAGCCGATGAACTGGCCAATTCAGTTTTGTTATCCCCTGGATCCTGCGTCAATATTGTTTGCCCATTGGGATGTGGGTGTTCCGTTTAATTCCTTTCGCTGTACCCCGTTAGCCATCCTATGAAATTCCGTGAAAGACATAATAACTGAAGGAGGAAAAAATATGATACTAAGTCTACATGGGTCCTCTCAATTAAGAAAGAAGTTGAGGAAGAGTTGTATTTAATGTACTTACTAAAAACGACAATTAAAATATTTAATTAGGCGTTGATACAATAGTATAAAAAATGTAAATTACAGTATTTGCTTATGACTGTAATATTATCATGATATTATGATTATCTGTGGAAGTGAGATGAAATTCTATATATCATATCTCATAAACAGGAAAGGGAATTTTTTTTATCTTTCACTATTAACATTGGGAATTTTTGCTACTGTCTTTCCTCAACTTCCTCACGCATTGATCCGACTTAATCGATGGATACCGAGAAACGAGGAAGGAAATGAACTCGGAGGAATCGTTTCAAACGGAATTGCGAAAAGTAATTAAAGACGAGTTAATTAGCATAGTGATGCCCGTTCCTCGAGAACGAACAATTATGCACGGACAGAGAAGATAAACGAGTCTCGCTATGTCAAAATCATGTCGGGACGTCGTGTCGCGTCGCGGTAAACGAAGCAGCGCTCGTCGTGTTCGTTTCCGTACCCGTAACTTCTCGAATTGACGATCAATTAACGGACGTTTGATCCTCGACGAACGGGCTATCCTGCGGAAAATTAACGTTGCGACGGCACGCACACAGGACGCGCAACCTCGCAACACGACGTTGCGCGGCGTCGTTTGATCGCGACGCTGAAAGACGCGTAAACGCTGCCTTCCTGAATCGCGTGGCCTCGGCTGATTTATGCGACAGGTCGTAACTCTTTCTCCGTTGAAAGCGGGAAAAATCGGTGTTCCGGAGAGAACGCGATCGAGTCCGACCCTCTTGCAGAGTATCGTCCCCGCGTAATGATTTAAAGTGAAACGGGATACATAAAGCAAAAAGAGGGTAACCGAATGTCCTTGGATCTCCTGGATATTTTATGTCAATTCGATCGTCTGCGCTTTCAATGAATAATAAAAATACAAAAGTGGTTCACAAATAAACTTGAATCGCTTAATACCTGAGATTATTTTTAGGAAGGACATTCTATACTACTGAACTAATAAATAAAATGAAATATATTCAATTGAATCTCACTGTACAAATCACTTTATTATTTTATTCGCTAATATTACATTCAAATTCAATTCATGATATCATCAGATAAAAGTAATTTGCGACGTTGTTCAGAGAATTATCGGAAAAGCATTTAGAAGTTGTCATAGAGCCGACAGAATAATACCTCGCAGTCAGAATAAAGTATAATTCCGCCGGGAGAAATACAGACTCGTTACAGGATTCTAGTTATACAATCTTTTTTGTCCTTTACCTTATTACGACATTGGTCGAGTTTTTTCTTTCTACCTATATTTTTTATTATACCTATATTTTATTGAATGGGAAGTACAATCCTTCGCAATTGTGTAATTCGCACCTTGTATATCAGAGAGGAATTAAATCAGCTCTTTTCCAGTGTTTCACCGTGTTTAAATAAGGGAAGAGATACGACCTGTTCCGATTACGTGAATCATCCCTCGTTCCGTTTATTAATTTAGACACCGGAGATGCTCGACAAATCCGGACGAAAATTATTTCTTCGAAACGCCAGCCTCGTATCTCCGGTTAATTCATCGGCTGTGATTTTTCAATCGTTTTTATTACTTCCTCAAGCTTTTGGCTAAGGTTCTCTCCCTCTTTTAAATTTCGAGGGAACGGGGATTATGCATCTATTATTCCACGACGCGAAAGCTTGAAGCTTTGTTTTTGCCTTTCGACTTGCCTCTCCTTGCGTCCCTCGCCAATAATTTTATTTGTTACTGTCGTACAGCGAAGTATGCGAAGCTGGATAAACTCGTTTCTCTTTGTAAGCGATTAAGTACAGTATAAAGTTCGTAGCATTTAAAGTACAGCAAAAAGCAAGTACCTACTACATAGCTTTCAGAGATTAGTTTTAACGAGCAGAATTATTTATTTAACTTCAAAAATATAACTCTCTTTAACGTTAATTAAAGTAAAATTGATACAAAACTTTCAATGTTTCCCAGCATTGATACCATTCGAACAAACATAAATCATTAATTAAATTAAAGGAGAAAGTTAAATAGAAAACTTCGCAAATTTCGCGCGAAAGCATCAAGACTCTCCGTGTTTATCAAACATTTTCATTTCTTTTTCCACTTTTATCGATTTCTTTTATCTGTTTTGATTAACCATCCCTCGTAGTGAACGAAACCGGTTTTGATCGTCGATAAACAGAAATCTTTTCTCTCGATTTAGGAGAAGAAGGACGGCCCGGTGTACAAATTCTACGAGATGATCCGTGATTACGGGGACGAGATCATGAACACCATAAGCCATCTGCGTGACGTAACGTTGTTCGCACCGAGCAACGCCGCGCTCGAGGAACCGGGCGTGCAGAAGATTTTACAGGACAAGGAACGCGTGAAGGAGATTCTGAACCTGCACTACGTCAAGGAACGGCTACCCCTCGACAACATCAAGAACAAGAGCGTCAACCAGGTATGACGATTTTAGATTCCGAACTCCTGTTCCTGTAAATCTAAGAAAAGATTTGTAGATTTAATCTCAGAAATATTAATGAAAGCTTCGAGTCGCTTCAAATGTTGATTTTCGATCTTAGTACATTTTATTAAACACAAACAAAAAACGTATCGCTAAGTGTTTTAAATAATTCCTACGGTTACTGCAATCAGGAAGGATGACCTTTGGTTTAGATTTCAGTAGCTCAGTAGCTCCCAATGGTACTTAATGGTCCTTGGGGCATTAAAGTATTCAGTGCTTTGTTATAGCTAAGAGCTCGAGCAAATTTAAAAGACCTTCGTGACGATAGAGCATTAAAGTCTTTTAAATGTTCTGTTGTGTTACGATTTAGAGATTTGGAATAATGTTAACTGAAATAAAAACGAAACAATTCCTTCTAGTTCTTCTCTCTAGAATTAGAAGCGAATCGAAAATTTCTGCAATTTTTACTAAATAATTAATCATACAATTTGTATAAATCATCATATCATTACTTCATTGCTTACGTTTAAGTACATCATAATTTCACTGGTTCACTTACATTATGCAAATGAGGATATTGCCAGAATATCAGAAATGAGGATATTTTCGTCGCTTAAAACTGACTGTTGGCAGAAATGTGTGAAACAGAGTTACAAATTGATTAACTGGATGTTTCTCTGTTTTCTGTTTCCGTTCGAAGAAATCCTCGAAGCCACATTATTCGGTAATTACATTTTATACAGCTTTCAATGTTTCTGTCCGACTGTACGTAAACTGTCTCTCTGCATCTCTTTCTCTCTATCCGCATTTGCCTTCATTTCTCAGTGTTAATCCCAACGTAAAATCTTTTTCTGACAAGATACATTGCTGTATACTATTCAGTTAATCTCTTTATACAGTGACGTATAAAGTGTTTTAAAATGTGCAGTACTCTTTTTAAATATCCTAACAATTAACTTCGCGTTCTTTCTTCGACCCTTTCAATCAAATAACAAGTAAAGAATTTCTATGAACCTATATAAATTTTTGTTGATCGCCATCGCAAATTATACGACATAACATTTCAGTGTTTTACATAATACAAGTAATAAATGAAGTTTCTTAATACAAATTATTTGCGTCTCTTGGAAAACCAATTGCTTGAATCTTTTTAAGTAAACATTTGTCTTGGAATTACATGACGTATTACATAAATGAATGAACGTGGCAATGTGACGCGCGGTAATGAAATGAATGGGAGATAGAAATCGTTTTTATTGGTAAAAAGCAAATAACATCGCAACCGGAAAGATATAAAGGAATAATTCCCGTGCAAATTCATCTGTCCCTGCCGCCCTTTGAACGAGCGAGTTTATTCCTTTCGGTCGAGCATCGTTCGCCAGTTTGCCCGTTCGTTTATACATGTGTTTACACGCGAAAATTTATAGGCCAACGCAGACGGTAGCGTTTTGCAAATCCGGGGTGAAAAATCACGCCTTCGTTCGGTATAATAAACGGATGAAAATGCCGCGAAAAATACGATTCGCGCGTAATTCTCCTACCTAAGCGCTTATAAGTGAAATATTTCGTTGTACTGTGATTCTTTCGAGTACTTTGATACTTACTCGACATGCACAGCCAGATATAGAATAGATTGATTTGTACCTTAAAATTAGGCTGACAAAATATGAGACAAAATCAATTTCCACTGTCTATCTCTTATCACATGTTACTCTTTTTCACATTAGTTAAGGATGTATTGGCTATACAGTCAATTCCAAAAGTTTATGTACCTTAGAAAAACGCATTTCCTATAATTAAAAAGAAATCAGACGTCGGAAGAATAATGCTAATAATAAATAGCTACGTGCTAAAAAGTATAGAAGGTATAGAAGATATGACGCTGACGAAAAATTTTTTTCAAAATTGCGAAAAATGCTTCAAATAAAAGTTGTTTTTCTTCTAATTTCGATAGTTAACGAGTTACGTATGATTATTTGGCATTTTATTGATGTTGACAAAATCCGACCATCCCAGCGTCGAAACGGCAAACTTTTGGCAAAAAATTTCATTTTTCCTTAATTACTCTCAAACCGTTGGACATACAGGAAAATTGTATAGGACCTTTCTTGTAGAGGAAGACGAGATCTACAATTTCTGCATAAAAGTTTGTCGCTAGCATTAATAGTTTACGAGTTATTGACAAAAAACGAAAAAACAGTTTTTTGCAAATTACTCGTTAACTATTGACGCTAGCAAGAAACTTTTATACAGAAATTGTAGATCTCGTCGTCCTCTATAAAACGGTCCTATAAATGTCCCCGTAAGTCCATCCGTTTGGAAGTTATGGGCAAAAAACGAAAATTTCGCGAAATCTGAAGGGGTACCCCTTGGAAAAATCTCGGAAAAATCGAAAATTTTTTGTTGTTGTTTATTATTAGCAATGTCCTTTCGACGTCTGATTTCTTTTTAAAAAATGCGTTTCTAAAGTGCATAAACTTTTGGGATTGACTGTATAGCCAATACATCCTTAATAAATATGAAAAAGGTTGAAGAATGATATACGTGTACATTGATATACATTTTTAATATAATTTTCATAATCGATTTTGAAGACATTGAAAGCCGCTCGTTAGCCAAAATACCGTTCGACGGATCCAATCGTGAAAGTTTTAGTGCTACAGGGTCCAATCTCGTTATTCCCGATTAGAACGATTTACTCATTGTTTCCAATAATTAATATACGCGTAGGTAGCGTAGGCGAGAGCCAGCGAAGTCAATACGTGCCGCGTGTTCGGGACGGTTGGTGCAGCGCGCTGCTAATAAATATCGCATGCATTACCGGCTGATGTTGTTTAATAACCGGCAATTAGCGACTCGGTACTAGTATGCCTGTCCCAGCGCTTTTATCGTAATCCGTTCGCAAATTAATTCACGTTCCCGTCAAGGCTTGCATTTTCCACTGCCCTTATTCTCCGCTCCTATCAACTTATCGATTAATCTTCGAATCTAATTGGAATATCCCCTTACGTTGTGTTTTAACTAATCATGTTGGGTCTTTATTGGGATTTATTCTAATATCCCATTTAAAATATATAACTATTTCTAATCCTATACAATTTGATTCCTTCGTATCATGTTTAATATCAAAGTCGAATCATTAGCGATAGTGTTAAATGTACGGAATAACTTATTGTAAAAAAATATTAAGATAGTCTGTTGGGTTCTCTGGCAACGAATTGATATTGTATTTTTGTTACATGCCAATCTAGAATTAAATATGTAATTTATATATTAATTTGACGGGATGTCGATATCTATTGAGTAAAAATTGAAAGTGACGTAAGACGTAAAGAACGAAATAAGTCGATAAGTAATTCTATTACTTGGACAATAGGATATTTAGTAAATCATGTGAAAAATCTTCGTACATTTAAATTAAAAAAAATTAAAAAATCTTCGTACATTAAAAAAAAAAGCAGATGTATTCGACATATTATAAATTAAAATACTCGTGATATTTGTTGTGTCATTCGTCTCGTGTTCGGATACGGGAACAAACATTAGCCAGTTCGATTGATAACGAAAATCGGGCCTTTATGCGCGCCGGTGGAATGTTCGTTTATGAACGAGCCGAGGATGTAATTAAAGTCAGCGTTCTGTATCAGCGCATCGGGTGATTGAGGCATAGATATTCAAGCGTAATTAGCTGTATGGGCGATTTCGCGTAATTACGTGCACTGATCAAAATCGGCGAATAGATGATTCAGAGATACCAAGACTTACGGATCGTACAAATCAGGCAACACAAAGACCATCCGACTATTTCACGTTATGCTACTGATATGCAGATCGTGACCATCTCATTATTCATTTAACACTATTTGTCGATATTAAAAGTACTTGGTTTATATTTTAAAATCATCAATGTATTTATTCTAAATTTTCGGCAACAATATGTTATTATTCCATTCTTTTAGACAATTTTTATTCAAGTCACGTAAGCATGTCTGAAGGGCGAAACAGTTAGAAAATACTTGGTACATTAAAAGAGGCGATGTGAAACATTTAATAAAGCTCAGATAAGAGAAATGCGCCGGGAATTTGTCTTTTAATCGTTGCTGGGGTTAGGGCCGTCGACCGAAATAAAATAGCTGCGCACAGTTTTTATACACGGATTTGCATTAAGCAACAGCGCTCTCACACCAATTTATAGCGCGTACATGTTTTACACCGGTTTCCTGCTTTATGACGCCCCCGATGAGATGATAAAGCAGCTACGAGAGGAAAAACACCATAAGTTCCTAACACGACGCGAGATAAAATGAGTTCTTTTTCCTCACATTTTCCATTCGTGTGTTATATAGTAATTAATTTATTGGACACCATTCCGAGAATCTTGATTCCTTATTCATTTCAAAGTTACAAATGCTGCTTATGGTGTATACTAATTCATCCCTCGTAGAGTAGAAAAGAAAATAATATTGTAATTTGACGAGAAGTTAACCTGTCTGACCTGTTGGGATGTTGCACTACTAGCTGGCTGTTGCCCAGTACGACGCGAGTTAGGACGTCTGATTTGTTGCAGTCTCATTCTACTTGGCATATCCACGGGCCACGTGAGCGTTTTGAGGAGCACCCAGGCCGTTCGCTTGTTATGATTGAACATAAGCATTGTATTTTATATTTAGCATAAATGTCGATGAATATGGTGTAAATTGTTTAAAGCTATATTTAAATCTTTTATCGTAAATCGTTGAAGTAAAAAATTAAGTACCTCAGACGATCAATAGCGCCCGTCATTTTCACTTGCCTAATTGCCAATTAAGAAGCTTGTTCCTAAGAACATCGTGCATCTGAAAGGAAAAGAATGAAGGACCACGTTACATCGTGGATCGTGGAGGAATAAATAGCAGGGGGGATCGAGTTACCTACGGGTAAAAGAGGCTTATAGGAAAATTCTTTGCCGGAGTGGGGGCGTGGATTATCATGGAATTTATTCGATCCGTTCTTTGAAGCCGCTGGTAGATGCATCTACCTGCGAATGCGGTGCCGACTTCAGATCAGAAAAGTAACCGGAAATGGTACGGAGTGCAAGTCGGAAAATTCATGAGGAGAGGATCAACCGGAAAGGGAATCACTGCTTCTTAAGCTCTCTCTTACTCCTCCTCCTTCTTCCTTTTACCCTCCTCTCTTTTCCTCGCCGCTTTCATTAAACTCCCTGTCTAAATGCCAGAGCTTCGACGAGGAAACAAATTTTCCAAATGTATCTCCGACCTCAATCTATAAATTAATATATATAGTCGTCCAATATATTTAATTATATTTTAACATATTTCTATCTCCTTAATTAAGGAATTTATAATATATATCAGTCGAAAATGATTAATTATTCAAATTCATACAAGTATTCATTTATCAACATCTGCGATTCACAAGAACTTTCATCCTTACTCATTATTAGCACTGTAATGGAATTATTATAAAAGTTCATATTTCATCATTAGAGAAATATATCTGTCTCATTATCAATAAATGAAGGATTAAAGACAAACTCAGAATTATGCTATGTACACCCTCTTGACAGCCACAGTATAAGTACTTGTAAATGCGCACGCAACGAAGAAGACTTATTGCTAACTCTCTAACAACGTTCCCTCCAATTCTCTTCTTTCTGCTCCGCGAGAAAGTTTGAAGGAGGGGAGCGCACATAACTTTTAACTCTCTCTGTCTCTTTCTCTTTCTCTCTCCCTTTATCTTTTCTCTCTTCGTCTTCCGTCGTAACTTGCAGTTATATATGTACAAGTTCTTGTTTGCACGAGGCTGACTTTCAACCGTGTTCTTCGAATAGAATCGCCCCAACCGCTTCCTGGTTAATTATAAAGTATTTGTCTAGAGCTAACTTTTCGTACTGCGCTCCTCTGATTCTCAAGGGACGTCACGCAATGCGTAGTTAATGTTTATCGTCGGAAACGCAGTATACATAACAACAGAAATAGTAATTTTTTAATAATGACGTCGTAAAAGGGATGAAGTCATTTTAATTTTTAAATCAACGATACAATTTCGTGATAAAGATACTTGGTTGGAGTTTATTGAGTGGTTGCTCGAGTAGATGTGAGCGCTTTCTATTCGAAGAAACGGATTAAGTATCTATGTATTTTTTACATTACGTGGCTCGTTTGGTGCACTCAAGCATGCCACGGCGGTCTTTCAGATCCTCTTCAAAGCTCACCGATTTTTTTATAGGTGTCCACTGCAGTGGACAGGAAGAAGCTGTACTTCAACGTGGTTCAGGAGCCAAGCGGAAACCAGGTAGTGACCGTCGAGGGTGGCGGCGTAAATGCAACCGTGATTACCGGAAATATCGCCGCTACCAACGGACTGATCCACATCATCGACAGAGTCTTCGGCGTTCCGTATACAACCGTGTTGGATAAACTTCGAACCGACCCCATGCTCAAGTATGTAGTTCATTAAAATACGATGTGTTTGAATAGCGACACGTTAATCGAATTATTATTTACATAATTTAATAACTGATTTCAGTTCTGCGTGCAAATATCAAATCTTCTGTCAGTTATTATAATTTTCATATCTATACATTTAATGCAGTTGATCTGAATAAATCAATGATCACAAAATAATTAATCTAATGATAACAAAAAGGTTTAATTAGCTTGCTGTTTAATTACGATATTCGATATTCTCACTAATATCGTACAAGCGAAAATTATTTTAACCGCATCGTTTGCAATCGCTCCTAGAATTTAATTGTAATAACGATGCGAATCTTCATTATAATTACCATTACTATTAATTGGGATTTCGTCTGATTCAAAGCTAAGCGGGAAATATTTAAAATGAAAACGCAACTACGATCATAATGGTTAATATTAGAGTATGAAATTGTCATAACTTACAGACATCGTGGAATACTGAAAATTGTCTTTTAATAGAAACAGGAAGTAAACGTTCCTATATCAGTAAATACGCTTATAACTTTTACATGTGAATTCGAACATGGACATACTCGTTTCACGCGAAAATCGTGTACGTTTTCATTCCACCGAATTGGTTTAACGAAAGTATAACAGGAACACGCGCGAGCCGTATGAATATTGCACAGCCAGGTCGGTCGTGATTTAATTCCTCTCTCGTTATTTCAATTACCGATGCATCGATAATGGAAAATCCAATTAAATGATATTCCGATAACCGATAAATATACTTTCGTAATGTTAAAACCCCCGTTAAACGAGCGAGTCACGAGGGACTAAACACTCGCGGGAGAATGCTTATTGCATATACAAAGCAAACTCGGTCCGGATGATCAAAAATTCCATAAAAAAACGATATCAATTCTATTCGTTATTCGTTTTTCGGAATCATAAATTTTATCAAAATACCACGGAGGATCGACGTTTCGCCTAAAATTAGGCTTCGTCCGCCGGCTGCGGTAACGTTACGATCATAAATTTTGTAACAACAGTATAGTTTTGCTACGTAAACAAGTGAAACCACTCTCTGACCAAGATACGCAAAATTCACAGGACAGTTAACCAGTCGGCGACACGGATTTATTAGCGGTTGATATATTTATGGCAAACGAAGTGCATAATGTTATAGACGCGAGGATACATAGCAAGGTATATCCCATCTTGTTACGGTGGGATATCGTTCGGTAACCATCGGCTAGGAAACGGTTATACGCTGGCTTTAATGCCCCTTCATACGATAGCTATCGTTATTCGATGCGGTGGATGGATGGTGATGTCAGCATTCCATCACCTCGTACCATCATGATATTCCAGACGAGAAGCCATCGATAGTAGGTACCTCCCCGCACCGTGTGCCTATACGTCACAGCCCCGTGCGTATACGAATATCAAGATCCACTGGCATCGATTTGTTTGCCCCCGCGTTCCGCCTTTTTACCGCGCGATGCTCAGCTTTTGATTTACGAGCTGTTCTGAACGAATGACGCTGTTTAAAGGAACGCCGAACCCTTTCCCTTTACCGTATTATTGTAAACAGTACGCGTTACACGGATTTGCTCTGAAAATGGATACAATAAACCTCCTACGACTATTCGATATTCTCAGATATATTTGTAGATATTGCTACTAACAGTAATCTGTGAAATAAAATATACTCCGAGCTTTGCGTAGAAAAAGGAGCGATATTCTTTTTATTGTAATTTGTATCTGTTTTTTGTTCTAGCTCCACCTATTTCCTCGGACAACGACATTCATTCAACGATCAATTAAACGACACGACGAAGCGTTTTACTTACTTCGCGCCACGCGACTATGCCTGGAACGCAGCAGCCATCAGTTATCCGTCTACCTCGAAGAAAATATTCATGCCTGAATTCAGCTATCACGTTAGTAGTTTTAATAAAAGTTAAATTGAGTCTAACAATTTTATTTGTATGAAATTAATGAGAAATAGTATTGTACATATTTTACGAACAATTCTTAGACGCATTTAAATCAAACTGAATTTATACAGTTGATAGGATTTGATAATTGTTGAAATCCTTTAATAAATTATTGCAAATTTTTGTTTAGACGAAACAAATTTTGGAACGACATTTGGTGATAGCGGACGAGGCATACACGATGGCCAAATTGAAGGAAATGAAGCACAATGAAACGATCGTCCTCCCCGCAGCCAGAGACAGCTTGAAGCTTCGCGTTCGGGAACAGAGCGAAAGTGAGTAGACGGACCTCTTATAAGACAGATTTAATCGTTTGCATAAGCACTCTTGCAATTACCCAAATATTCTCAGATACACTCAACGTTTCTTTCAATCTTATTGTCAGTATTTGAACGTGTTATATGTATGTACGGGTCAGTATCGTTCATTGATGTTGCATTGTTTCTGAACGGATAGAAAAATGAGAACGGAAGTGTTCGTTTGATATGAGAAACCCCGCACGTTGTGCTGTGGTCTGTACATTCTCAAACCTGGTGATATTTGGTTACATTTAGATGACGTTACGTACGACGAAAACGCGATCCATCCAGAAACTTTCGGTGAGTGAGTTCAGTGTTTAGACGTCGCCGATGAGCGACGACACGTGCTTTCACCCAGTACGAGCTCTGCGCACATTGTCAATTTTTGTGAGAGAAAATGAAAGGGTTCTGCGCACTTTTCGCACTGTCTTCAACGCGCGTACACTCGATATGTAACATACTTAAACACGCTAAAGAAAAAAAAAGATAATTAGACAATTAGGTATCCATATATTTGCATTGTACGATAAAATCGAGCGATGATAATTTCTTAACGATTTTAATAATTTCTCTATCACTGCCTTAATACAATTTGGGACGAATTGCACATTTACTGTTTTTAACAATAAACATTTACACTGTTACATGTACATAAATCACTTTATAAAAATGAAACAGATGAAACGATTTGGTGACAAAAAGAAATTTTGTGTAGACGGTTTCACACGCGATCATTATTGTAGTGTAAGAATTGTTCGACCACGTGTCCTCGTTCACATGGTTCAATTAAAAGACATGTTTAATCATAGCGACTGCGTTCAAATGTGATTCAAGTACGCGCGTCTCGTGCAGTTTCTCAATGCTTTAAGGATCTGCTTAATTTTTTATTCTCAGAATACGTAACTATCTACATAGACCGCGCGTTTCACTTCACAGTTTACATACCTCACGTTGCTGCTGCTTGTTGGAAAATGCGTGCACGATGGACGGAAACATGTTTCTTTATTTTTCGAATAGTATTCGAACGAGAGTGGGATTGCCTATCGGCATAGATAGACGCAGCTCTCCTCACTTTCTCGCAATGTTCTAGCTTTGTTTTGTTGTTTTTGGCAGGGTGAAGTGAAGGCTGAACTCATTAATATGATAGTGCTCGTCATTCGCAATGAAGTTTATTAACAAGCTGCTATAATACGTATTTATATTTTTCATAATTCATTGACGAATCTCTGTATCTAAATGAAAATTCAATTTTAAGAATAAATTGTAGTAAGACATGTTTTCATGCTCGAAAACATATTTTCAAATATTGCTAATATTCTTTTCGAATTATCACATGCATTATTTGAAACTCAGTCTTTACGCTTCTATAAAACTGCACATTCTAAAAATGCACTGGGCATTATAATATCTTCAACAATCAGTTTACTGCAAGTATGAAAAATTGTCATATCGCATTTCCTGTGCATTGCATTCAATTTTTGTTTGACAGCCGTCACTGCGTTCGGGTGGTCATTTACTAAAAGACAGAACTGATTACACAGGAGACCAGGTTAATAACAATAAACATGCTACGTTTTACAGATTCCGACGCGTATCGTAACACTTAATTATTTGAACAATGGCACGGTGAGTATTTCTACGATTTCGCAAAGGAAAGAAAAAAGAAGTATACGCGACTCGATCAGTTACATGTATTCACGTACATGCTGCTTGTTTGCCGCTTGAATGATTTGATTAAGCTTGTTAGAGTAAAATACAGGGCTATAGTTTCCTGAGTTAACAGTCGTGCTCATCGTCGCCGTCTTCCTCGAAAGCATCGCTTATGGTACGAACAAGCGTATTTCTTGAACTGACGACGAATTTTTTAATAAACCTGAAAGAAATATTAATCGGGACGGAATTTAGCTTCGATATAGGGTAATTTCGTAGCTTCCGGCCACTCTCGGTGAGCGGTGACCGACGAAGAACGTGCACAATTATGGTCCGAGACCGCAAGACGATTTATTATGCACCTTTCAACCACCATTTAAATGCAAATTTCTTGATTACCCCTGGTGCTAATTGCTACGTGCTCGCCCGGTCATTCGCTCGGCCACGAATTGCGAATCACCGAAGCGTTTTCTATTTGCGACGAATGTTGCTATTTCGTAACGAGCCCGACGAGTAAAAAGAAAAAAAAAAGAGACAAAAGCGAAGGCAGAGCGGGAGCGTGATAATATAAAAAGACATAATTAAGCAAAGAGGGAAACAAGAGGATAATTGAATCGGATGGAACAAGCATGAGCGTAAAACTGCAGATTGTGTGTGTAGGAAGGGGGAGAAAAATGCAATACCTAGTAATTCGGGGAATAATAGAACAACCAAGACCCATCAACTGGGTTATCTCATTTCTGGAAACGTCCCTCTTCTCTTTTCTGATCTTTTAAATTAAATTCGCCGACTGTTTTTGATAGACTGATATTGTTGTTTTTTAATCATATACCCGTGGATCTTTTTGAAGTTTGAGGAACTGTGTTCCCATTAAAATGAAATTAAGATAATACTATAGAAATTTTTTAATCTGTCCGTGATAATACTGTAGAAATTTTTTATTCAGTCCTAAGCATAAAATTACAGTGAACATAACAATTACAATTTGGTATAAGGTGCAATTTCGAAATATTTTCAGGGTTCAAATTTATTCTATCCTATTTAGAATTCTACCTATTTAGCAATATAATAATCTACAGATTTCGTACAAACTTAATTGTGCACCAGCAGAAGCAACGATTTTTCAAATGCGCTTGAAATGAGAAACAAAGATAGTCGACGAACCAACTATACCAACATTTGCCATATGCATTTTGCGTCTTTGTGTTCCGTAGACTGAAACATTGATTTTCCGAGCGCAACTTTCGTTAGTGTCACCCGATACTCCATTGCTCGGCAAAGTGAACGCCTCACTGGAATCTTACGTCTATCGCTGCAAACATCGCAACTCGCTTCGTTCTCATCTAATCCATTAGCCGTATATACAGGATCAGCCGTCGCGTTGGTCGCGGTGTACGAGACGATTTATCGATCAGGCAACCGTTTCTCTTTCCAGGTTACCAGATCGAGTGGGAGGGCAACTGGATCCGGGTGTTCCGTCCTGATGTCGAGTGCACCAACGGGATCATCCACGTGATCGACACAGTACTGTTGAAGGACAGCGACGTCAGGGTGACCGGGACCGCGTCGGTCACCAGCCTGGCACCGCATTTAATCATGATCCTGGTGGCTAAGTGGTTGCTTTAAGGACGCACCGCTACGAGTCTGTCAAATATAGATGCACCTAGGAATTTGTCTCGCGACCGTCTCCGATCGTCCTCGTCCAGAAAAACGCAGTAAGCGAGATCCGGATCTCGAATTTGAACGTAAGTCACGGGCATCTCGGACTGCCATTTAAGTCGGGTTCAAAACCCTAATGAGTCTGACGTCTTTACGAGATTCGAGGAGATCTGCGATCTTCGCGAGCTGACGCTGCGTAAAACTGTGTTCGAGGGTTTTGCTTTCGTCTACCTTTCAATGAAAAAATAAAGCCCCTCTCAAATGTGTTCCCCATGTGAAAAGATCGAGAGGTACAATCGACGAGGATCGGGGACGATCCGGAATGAAGAGATGACTGCAGGTCCAGGGCTCTTGGCCTGATCTCCTCAAACTGATCAGGCAAAGGTCCGTTCGACCGACGACTTACGTGGTTGAAGCTTAAACGGGAAACGTACTAATTTAGCAATTTCAAAATCGAATTATCGCCGTAGGTAACGGTTCGAAGGAGCAGGTGTTGTTTACATTACGAGAGAGATTTTCGTGATTTGAAGTTTTGTCGTGTATCGATAGAAACTATCAGAGAACTCGAGTTGGAGGAAAAGGAAACTCGATGATCTCGCCTTCGAGAATAAAAAAATTTAGCGGCGAGGGACAGTTTTTCTTTTTTGCCGATAACTAGATCACTGATCGTACCAAATGATTAATTATTAACCGTACCAACTGATAAGTAATTTAGAGACACTGCGAACGGGAAGAACGAACGGTGCGATGGATAGAGCAGAGATTGCCAGGAATCTTCTTGAAGTACAAGGGCAACGAGGGTCGGCGTTTTCTAGAGTAGCCTGTGTACGTACTACGTGTATATTAAATTTCTCGTTACGCTGATAGAGAGAAAAGAGTTCGTTATTTATTTCCCTCGGTTCAAGCTTCCAGTTTCGTGTAATTATACGGCTACGTTACCATGCTGGCGTTTCTCTTTTCTGAACGACCTACAATTACGATCACATCGCGACAAGTTCATCGATCGGCGATCCATATGCTTCCTATGCTCGATATTCTAACACGAAAACATAACAATTGAATGCAGGTATATGGACAGACATAAACGTATAACGTATTTATGTACACAATATCCCGCGTCTAACGTCAGTTCAGGTCGAACGCCGTCGATATTCACGCAATAAGACTTTTCGTATTTACAATTACATACGCGTGTCTCGCCTAATTAATGGTACGTATTTCGATTTCATTGCCAATGATTGCACTATAGTTCTGTGTGTATGTATATATGAGCGTCCTTTCTGTTCGGGCATGAATCGCGCGACGAGATACACGCGATGCCAACTTGCATTGTTATACGAGCACCGAAAGTTGGTGTATATAGGTAGGACGTTTGTCCTTAAAAAGTCCAATGCAAGTTCTATCTCTAATTCCCTGCTGACAATTTACATTATTTAATCATTATTAACGTAATTATAAAATAGGATTCGGTTATTGGATTTACGCATTTTTTCTATTCCCTCTTCGTCAAATATTTAATAAATCAATTTGTATACTGCCTCCTTTACACAGACAACCCTAATTTTTTCTTGCATACTCATTTCAACATTACAAGAAAACTACAGTTCGAAGAACAATAATTTAAGCAGTTTTATTATTTGAACTATAAGGGAATAAGAATTTTCTCGATCCTAAAAGTGCTCCGCACTAAAGGCGCCGTTGGTTCTCGACGCGTGATTTAAGGCCGTAAATGTGATTCCCAGTTACACTTGCTCTCTGCAGCATATCGTATTACACTTGTCTACTTATTGATAATACTGCCACGTGTCACCGCAGGCCGAACGTGCTTGCGCACGAGTTTTTGTACAATTATCGTTGAGGGAAACGGAAGCTTTATCCAAGTAGGAGTGATTTGATCACATTCCGTTGTTGCGCGGACGTGTTCGAACGAATTACTGCGTTTAAAGCGAATTTAAAAGCCAAATGCATATTTCTCTTACTTCTAAACATAAGAAATTTTCTTATTTGTAAAACTGGTATTGGAATTGACGATACGTTTGTTACTACATAATGTATTCTGCCATATACTTTTGACTAAAATTCAGTTCACGAGTGAAGGAATATATTTTAATACAAATATTTTGGGTATACTTGATCATAAAAAACATATCGCAGTGTCTGAATATTTCATTATTTCATCCACGCATTAGTACTTTCTATAAGATGAACTTTAAGGCACACGAATCCTTGGAGAAGACTGCAGATAATAAAATTAATCATGTTTTAATGATAGCTACGAGAAATTACGTGAGAGAAATAATGTTTCTGCATTTTAATTTCACCCTTTATAGCAGAACCTTTGGAATAAGAATTCGCTTGCACGGACTGCGCAGCACGCAAAATATTCATTCACAAAGTTTCGTTTTAATCGACTGTACAATGCTATATATAATATATCTATATATATACTACATAGGATCATCTGTGTCAATGCACCGTGTCACAATAGGGTCACTATCGAGACTACCGCCGGGTTCGTATTTCGTTTCGATTAGTACAATTTAATCCTTTGCGATTTTATACAACCTCCACCCTGTTCAATATTAAGCACTTGAAAATAAAATTGGAAGTCGACGCATATATTAAACGCGTTTATTAAAACAGAAATACGAAATAATTATGGAAACGGAATTATAACATGATACCTTTAACAAAAGATAGCAAGGGATTAAACTGTATAGAATGCAATTAAAAACCGAGGAACAGATCGAGAAACGCGAACAAATGACACAACGCAGTTTCATTCCACAACTAGTAAGAGCTTAGTTATGTGTGTAAAAGTAATTAAAGAAAGGTTGCGCGTGTCTGTTAAACAAAGAACTTATATGTGAGAAAATTTAGAGACCAGAGATATTGAGGATAGCAGAACCAAAGTGTTCGAAGGTGGAGTGGAAGGGACGCTTCGTAATTTCGTTTCCTCCTGAAAAAAAGAAGTCGCTATAAAAGGAGGTGGCGACCGAAAGAGTTGTACATTTCAATCGAACGCCGAAACTAAAAAGAAAAGAGAGAAGCTATAATATAGAGAAACGCATTCCGCAGCGCTTTCGACTATTTCACGCGCATTAGCGAGAATTAATAAAAAAGAAAGGTGAAACACAAAGAATAGAAGATTTGTAATTAAAAATACATTCAGCTACACCGCAATCATCTACCATGAAATGAAGTAAAGATAAAAATAATTGGTTTAAATAGAAGAATTCGATGTTATACGTGTTAATATCAGTCTATACATATATATATGAAAGAAGTAAATAAATATATATAAATATAATAAACAGAGATATATTGACGAGGACGAAAGTACGTTTGAAGTGAGAGAGAGGGAGAGAGTGAGAGAGTGAGAGAGCGAGAGAAAGAGAGGTGAGATGGAACTGATTGTGACAAAGGTAGAAAAGAGAAACAGAAATACTATCAGACGATACCTTAAAAACTTGTTGTTGGGATGAAATGATAATACATAAACTCTAATAAACACTGTTTGGTCGTTAGATAAAGAACTAAGAATTAAAATGTGCAAAAAAAAAAAATTGAAAAAAATAGCGGAACTCTTTCGTGTAGATGCGTCTTTAAAAATGTATTCAGCTTATTCGAGCGTACCGTACCACCGAAGAACCGAATCGCGTATTTCAATTGCATCTATCTGTGGGGTTGTGAACGGTGTGAATGGAAATGCGAGAGACGGAATTTCGAAGGAAATGTCGTTTCACGGAACTCCGCGAAAGTATCATGTTCAGGTAAACAGCATATCCGACGTTCCCTTGTGTTCCTTCTGACGTTTCTTTTAATGGAACCCGCGATACCGTTTCGTCTCGTCTCGTTTTCACGAACTTCTGTACTTGAAAACGTTGCGAACACTTACTGACACAGGGATACCGATCTTTTTGGGAAGAATATCGATGTCGATAAAAGGAAACTGGATTATCTAAGCTTATACATATATACGTGCATAAGCATTTTAATGATATACGTCTTTTTATACATTTAATTGTACACATCTACAGGTTATATTTTAATAAGAGATGTATAGGAGAGTCTAAGAGCTTTGTACATTATTTAAACAAGCTTTTAAAGCTTGTAAAGCCAATGGTTTTTAAAGAGAGCAGTGACCGAAGAGTCTTTTGAAAAATTGATTCCAGATCGGTATCCCTTCGACTAACTCTGAACATATACGATAAATCTTGCGAATCGATAGCACGAAATAATCAGAACAAGTGAATCTGTGTAAGATCTGTACATTTAGTTGCATGACCAGGATGTCAACACACGCTTCTCAGCTATTTTCGAGATTTCTTAGAAGGACCATTAAATCGCTTTTGTAATTTATACGTAAAAGGGATCTAGGAAAATTGTACAGCACGACGATGATATTCCCCCCTGTAGCGATATAATAGTACTCGATGACGTCGCGTCTGAAAGCTTTTTCATTTTTGGTATTAAATAATTGTACAATCGTCATAAAAGTACGTGATACGAGTAATAATTAGAAAATGCAGTTATATACAAAGTAATAACTGTTATTAAAAGAAGAATAATGTCTCGATCTTAAGGGCTAATCAGATGAAAATATGTAACATAATAATTGGAATGTGTTGAATCGTAAAGGGATTTAATCAAATTTCAAATCTCTTTGTCCTTACATAAACTATTTTCGATTCACTTTACATTTCTTTCGAACGCGAATACGAAAATTAGTTGATCCCTATTTTGCAAGTATTTCTATTTTCTGTAATATATAAACGTTATATAAGTAACAAGGATATTAGTATTCATTAAAATGAGGAATAGATGTTAGAACAATTCTTTTTTTTAGTTACACGCGTATGTACGATTATCATAAAGTTTCAACCAAACGACTTCGCTTCATCTATGTAAATATAACAGTTCTTCAAAGAAAAGGAAGAACTTTAAAACTTCTTTCAACCTTTCAAGTGCCATTTACCTTAAAAATAAGTTAACTATTTCACAGTATAAAACGTTCGGAAACAAAGTGAAACATCATTTAATTATATCAGAATTGTTAAAGAAAATCAACTTTTAAATCGAATCGATGTTCATATTGAAATTTCATCGCATCATAATTCCAAACGAGAAATCAACAATTTTTTATTTATAAGTAAGCTTGAGAGTATTAGTATTATATTATATAGCTTGCAGCTCGTACGAGTATTTTAATCTGTTTACCAAAGAAATAGGTGTCTAACGTAATTCATTTCTCTTTACTAACTGGAAAGATCTTTCGTACTCGGTTGTTACGGGCTTCATTACAAAATTATTGAATTTTCATTTTCATGACAAGCGTAAGGAAAAGAAATTCTTGCAGTAGTTCCAATCATTCTTCATCGGCGTCGTATTGTTACGCATTGCCATTGCCGATTCTATCGTGTAAGAAGGTACTATCAAAATTATAGAAAAGAATCTAAGGCTAAGATATCCCTCGCTAACAAACACAAGTAAAGGAAACAAGTGCGGGACTCTCACCACGTATGCACATTTCCTACGTTAGATAACTATACGTTACACATGTCTATAGAAAATATTTTACGCTGAACTTTAAACAAAGTTGTCCGCTGACATTGAGGATGAACGAAAGTCTCGTGAAATTTATTTCAAAACATTTCTCGGCTGATCCGTTATTTTCGCTATCGCAAAGAAACATTCTTACAATTTAAAAACGTTGCTTAAACAATATGACTGAGTTCGAGTTGAATTTCTGTATAAAGCGAGCAAAATATTTTTCATACGCATGCACATGGTACTATACGTCTAAAAAAGTAATGTGTGAAAATGCAGAACATGTAAAAGTTTTATTATAAAAGTTTGCGTCCACAGGGGCTGCTGTTACGTTTGAGAAAACATGCAAAACCGCTAGTTTAGTCGAAATATGTAAAAGATTCAGAAGCGTTTCTAACAGCGAGCAAACCTCCAACAGCATTTCCTCTATCCTCGTCGTTGCCGTTTGCATTTATTTTCGCGCAGTTCTTTTCACAATCATTATGAAATTTTTATTGTTGATAGTTAATCGTAAAAAGTTGCCGCGTTTACAAAGCTGTTCACAAACTTAAATGCAATCGGTAACCAAATGTACGCGACACCTTTACTGTGACGCGAAGTGAAATCATTAATAAAAATAAGGATATAGTAGGTGCGAATGGCGACAGGACGTTTTCTTTATTTCTTTTAAAAAATGAGACGAGAATACGTGTTAGTAAGGTAATAAGTGATCTAATGTAATAAGCGTTGAATAGGTACCGCCTGACCGAGGCGGGATTTAAACTAATTGAATTTAAACTAATTAAATTTAACTAAGGATTATTTATTAGTTATATATATATATATATATTATATACTATATAAAAGTATATGTATATTACAATACCTATATTGTAGTAGGGAAAAATCAAATTTTACGTACCACAGAGCTATTTGTACAAAAACCGTTTCATTTCGATTTCCATTCTGATCATGAATTTGAAACGTGTCGCTCGAATGTTATATTTAATTCGCAGCAGTGCAGCTCGGTAATCTCCAGTTTATGTAACGAACCATGCATACGTATAATATATATATATTTTAGATAATTAACCAGCAGAGGATTCTAGTTTTTCTTAGGGCTTAGTTGTACGCGTATTTTACATTTGTCTGTATTTTCAGAGTTAATCACTAAGTTTCTATTCCCGGTAAAACTTCACGCGTTTATCGCGGGGAACGGCAGCCAGAACTTCTGTTAAGTGTTAAGATTTTTACAGAGAGAGAATTCGCGCATTTCGAGCCAACTGAATTCGCAAGTGTGTGTGTGTCTGTATTCGTCGGGCGAACGACGCGACAGCCAGTGCCTATCAATTCCGCCGATTAAAAAGACTAAACGGAATTGTTTTTCCATATTGTATATGTAAAACAGTGAATGCACACCTTGACCGTCGTTTGCCCCTTGAACGATCATGTCACTTGTATCTCGCTTGACTATACTGTATAGACTCCGGTCGCTTAACGCTGTATGATTTTACGAAGAATAAAGATCACCTATAAGGTAGTTCAAGTGACTTTCTTAAGTTGATTGTAGCGTGTCATTTTATTCTTTTATCTAAACCCAAGCCTATTGTGTTTTTATAGTGATTTCCGATCTTCACATGACTTACACACCGAACAAGGAAAAAGTACGTACATTTAATAATAAAAAATTACTTTAAAGTGGTAATGTAATTAGATAGTCACAGTTGAACGTGAGACAAAAGAGCCCGTAAGGTGATATGGAATTTAATGACAATTATAGAAAAATTATATTATTATAATAATTTTATTGACTATTGTTTACGTACATTTGAACACATTTATATTTATTGAAAGCAGAAACTGTAAATCAAATTGTAATATCACTATGATAAGCAAAGTACGTTTACATTGATTGGATGTCTTTTCAGTAATTCCAATAATATCCAATTCTATATGTGGTCGTATTTACATAGATAAATTCTAATATAAAAAATATAATCAACATTCTATTTAAATTGTACTTTAATTTTTATACTTCATCGTAAAATAATGTTCATATATCTATTCATGCATATATTTTGATATGACGAACATCTTTGATTAAAGTGTTCTCTCTTCTCAGAAGAATTCATTAAATAGAATTATCCGAAATTCATTAACTAGATCATTCTTGTTCTCAAGTATTTGATTGAACATTTGAATGTATTATTCTCTTTGCCTAAAAAAGCAATACGCACGTACTACATCAAAATACTCTTGAATGCTGCATTACATGGTTATCCGTCCTAAGCAGTCTAACATTCTCTTTTTATTTACATAAAACGAAAATGCGTTTTTAAATATAATTCCACTACTCTATCTTTGATTTTTGCTCCGTAAACTTCCGTCGCGCTTCGAAGCATCTCACGCATCTAATCGAAAATCTACATACATAACGATGTATATGTTACACGAAGTAACTCGTATATTCATGCGGCATCACGCCTCTCCTCGGATAAAACGTATGGCTTGTCGAGTATTCTAACAGGTTCGTGATCGAGCTCATGTAAATGTCGGCGAACCGAAAAAGTCTTCGCGAAAAATACGTGGGATTGTGGTATGTCCGAAATACCGAGCCAAACTGTTTGTTAAATACTCGTTTTATCTCGTTCCTCAAACTGTCTCTTTCGTTAATCCATTCATTGAGTACGATTTGCACATCCGGCCCTTCGTAATCTTGATGATCCTCGATCAATCCCGTTAACATTTGTAACCAATTCGCGTTCTCCTTGAATCTTGGATTATTCAACGTCGCGATTTCATGCTAGAACAGAAATTAATCCTTATGTATGTCTTTCTTCTTGAAGAAATCTAGATTTATAAATGTGAACTTACGCTCAGTTCTTTGATTATCGCACCGGTTCGCCAGCCATGCTCTAACGTAACATCCGCTAAGTCGCTGTAAGGGTGATCTCCAAAATATAACACTTGATGCCCCTGCCAACCAGTCATATCTTGTAACTGTTTGACTGTTCCCTAATTTTAGAATTAATATCGACATTATAATGTGTCTAAGAATAATTTTGAGCAAGCTTTTCTACACTTACTTCCAGATATATCACTCCTTTTTCAAGTGTGGTCACTCGATCCCATAGTTGAGTTTTGTTGATTTCATCGTAGATTCGAAGGGGCCGCGTTTCTTCGGTAAAGAATTTCGGTTTCCTCGCTTGAACTATTACCACATCGAAGTAGTCCCTCCAATCGTTACCGACTAAGAATTTCATTCCAGTATCGCTAAAAATTAAATTACATCACCGTTTCCATTTAATAATAGTAAAAGTTATAAATATCTATGCAACTGTGAAAGTAAGAAAAGTTTTCAGTGTACTTCCTCAGTTTAATTATAATACTTACACAAAATGGAAAGGGCTATTGGTCACTAGGAACATATTTTTATTATTTTTTTTCAGACGCTCAAAGAATCTTCTTAAATCTTTATTTTGTTCCAAGTACTCGGACACGTTTTCAACTACCATGCCATGCATTATCGGATGGCAACTTTGTACAGAATTCTGAAATGAAATTGAACCGTGTAAAAACAGTGGGTAGCAATATGCTTCTGTACGTTTTATAAAATTGATTCTTCTTACCTTTACGTCTCTAAAAAGTATTTCAGGATGGTAATCGATATGGTTACTCAGGAAGTATTCGGTAACGTTACAAAGAAGACCCATTTCCGGCACAGAAAATAAATCAGCCAATTGAACCATTTTCGTTCGGTGTAATGCCTCCTGAGAAAATTGCAATTTCCATTGCGTAATTAAAAGATTTTCTGTACACCGCAAACACCGAATATGTAGTACTCACTTTCTATGTATCACGTTGAACAAATCCATCAATGAAAACACATACGTTGACGCATGCAAACAAATAAACGATGTTTGAACAGCTTTATGTACATATGTTACACATTTTCAGTTTCTTAGGAATGTATCATAAAATTAAGCACACGTGGACGCGCATACAAATGACAGTCATATGTTCTGTCGTTTCTTTTGCAAAACATTGTTGTTAATTTTTACTTTTCTATTAGACTTTTATAAATCTTCTGAGCTATTGTTTCTAACAACTACGAATGTAAAAACCAATATGCTAATTAGACGTATTGTCTTTTTTCAACTTTTTACCATTTGCAAACGTTTTACAAAAAAAGATAAGATTAGACATGCATGTTACACTGTACGTATAAATATTCACAGAAATATTTATCTTTTCTGTATTCTAATTGAATATTAAAGTCATATTGAAGAAACTATGTTAGGAAAGAAATTATGGTATGAACGGAAAGAATTGTTATTAGTACAGTATTTCATTCCAGTGTTAGACAGATATTACCAATATTAATAAATTTGATCGGTGCAATAGGAATTAATTGAGATGAATTCGAGACTGCTTACGTGAGAATGTTTATGAGGCGCTTCGACGTAAGCGATCGGTATTATTCGGTTCTTATAGAGCCTGAGGACTTCTTCGTCCGGTAGCGGATGTAAGCCACGGTAAACGGTGCCAAATTGAATTTGCAAGAAACTGTCGAGTTTCAGCAGCAGACCCTTTTCGATGTCATAATGAAGGCCGCGAACAGCAAAATCCTCCTTATACGCGAGCTCGCTGATTCCCTCGGGATACTGTCGATTAATCAAGTTTGCGTTCAAGTTTCAGTTGAAATTCTCGTTTAGCTATAATTGTCGCTTGATTTTCATTTCGAGAAAACGTCGCTGACGAACCGAACTCGCCAGCAGAAATGAGTTACGAAGTTTCATTCAGCTCCCTCGAATTAGTCTCGACAAGCTTGAAAGTTTGTCGACCGTTTCTCGATTGACGTATACACGTGTATACATACCATTCAAATTTTCCAAGCAGTTACGTTTTTTTTATTTAAATACGCTACTTTGTTATGTTCAAAGTAATTATTTATAATCAACGATTATGTTGAATTAAAAAATGTATTTACTTCGAAATTTTTGATTATTCTTATTCCTTTTTTAAATTATAAAAATGAATGTACCTTGTATCTTTGAATGAGCATGTCGCGGCCGAGATTATAAAGTAGATGATCCAGCGACGGCTTGTAACAAGCCAACGTGTAATCATAATCAAATCCATAGACTTGGACTTCCCTCAAATCGAGTTCGTTGCAGGCGAACACACCCTTCAGGTTTACGTCTTGGGGAAGTTTCTTGGCTAAATAGAAATTGCAGTTATTAATTTTCCGCAAATCTCCTTTCAGCTATTCTAAACGTGATTCAGTCCTCGTGCATCAAATTTACATAATTTCGTACCAAGTAATGGTAATCAATGCCAATCATTATAAATATTCTCCGTACTTCGTGTATGGTTTTTCAATAATTTTATTAACTTTGAAATAGCTTAATGACATTCATAATTTTAATGCATACTTCTTATTATACATGTACATGTCATGTATGTCTAGTTTTACGATATCCAATCTTTATTAGATTCTCACTTACTGTTATGATAAGACTTATTTATATACGATAAAAAAGTCTTATCCAGATTCAACGATTAATAATTCATTCGATTTAAAGACATATTACGATTGACGCAACGTTGCTATATATTTGATCATCTTACATGTACTTATATCAAATGCGTAATTCTGGAAACAGAGGCGCCACGGTTTTCAGATAGAGTTTCATGCTATCTCCGAATCAGATAAGTCTATTACGATAAACATAAAAACAGATCCGCATATATAAGTCTGCTTACACACGCGGCCTTGAGCGAGGACTTGGTAACCGTATAAAAGGATAACGTGTGGGACTATTTCTCCGAGTTCGATTCACGATAAAGTCCGTGCTCTCGTTTTGCTCCGAAGATGCCCGATACCAGATGCTTTTCACCGTCCTAGATTTTTCTGCCCATCCGTCCGTTCGTCCCATCTCACCCAGTATTCTCTTATTAATTACTTCTAGATATATATATAGCNATATATAGCTGCATAAAATACTCTAATTATTTCGCCTAATATGGCATCCGTTGAACGAGGGAATTTCATTAATAAAAATAGTTGAAATAACTGAACTGTATTCTCTCAATTAATTACTTATCTCTCGATTACATTATTTCCCTTATTCTAGATTAACGTAAATCATTAATATTAAAATGAAAAAATTCCACAAACGCTATTTCCATAATTTCTATATTCTATTTTATTAACATTCTTAAATCAATGACCGTAGGAAATATAGCATTGAAAGTTTCACTGCCACGTGACTGGTATATATGTATTGTTAATGTTTTGAAAGCTGCAAGGCCGATCGCAAACGAAGCTTGTATGTGTGTGTAAACCAACTCTGAAGTGTTCACTTGTTTATTACGTACTCTATTAAATTACATATTCAGAAAGTGATAACTGACCTTAAGTGTTAAGTGAATCATCCTAAAATGTTCTTCGTGCCTGCTCAAGTATTATATTTCTATCAATAAAGTGACGTAAGAACTTAAATAAATAAAGACGGACAGATTGGCAGATAATAATGGCTATCTCTGTCAATACATCTGAAGTATATTTATTAAGACAATTACTGCCGTTTAATTCGTGTTAAACCTGTTATTGAGGGCCATAAATCATAGCGATACTCTTGACAACTGGTATTAGATTTCGCGTACATATCGGTGCAAAGATATTGGAAGACAGCCAGTGTCAGCTGATACATGAGAATATTATCGTTGGTTTGCATAATGAGTACACGTAAGTAGTCGTCGTGCCTGGACAATGCTGGCAAGACAGGTACCATTAATGAACATTAAACGTGAATCGAACGCTTCCTGAGAAGGGGGATTCATTGGTGGATCAATTATGATTTCCGGAGAGAGATAGTTGGGTATCAAGGTCTCGCAGCGGTCTCATCGATTCGAAATATCGGAAGCGTAGACGGTGCGCGCATGCGCGGGCGTGCGCGGCGGGCCGGAGCGCGCATGAATCCGACGGCGACCGTTTTATCGGTTTCCGTAGCGCAACGGAGAGGAGACGAGAGCAAGATGGCGACTACCAGTAATACTCACACTTGTACTTTTCACGTATCTTCTGGTAATTCTGCTGCATGACCTCGCGCGATATCTTTCCCCGGCTGAGGGCCCGATCGCCGATGGATCGCGCGGACGTGACATGGCCACCGGGCAAGCGGAACAACCGGGACGGATGAACACTTTCGACGAGCAGAGGCGATGCTGCAACGACTGCGAGGGTCCTCGTGTGCAGCATCACGAACGATTGGCGGGTGTACACCCACAATCACGGTGGGCAACGATTGGCGCACTGTACGGCGGCAGATTCGAATTTCCCGTTGCGTGCGCCGTCTCCACTTCCCGCGGCGTTACTAAGCGACTATCAACATACGTCTTGCTTACCCTCCACCGTCGGTTACTTAATCGTAATCAAAACTTGTACGTATTCTAACAATAATAAAACACTCGCGACGCGACCGCTCTCTGCTTCGTTTATCTCTGTCCCTCTGGTACAATGTCCTTGCCCGCTGGTTACCAGCTATTTATACTCTTTCTTTCTGGCCATCGACTTAGCTTCGAATTCGAAGCGCGACAAGTGCACGCCGCGTTCAAGCGACTGTTACTGTCCGTTTTGCTTCGCCCAAACATAAGGCTGAAGGGACCGTATTACCATCGCGCTACAATCGTACCGCTTTAAGCGTTCGTGTATGCTTCGTGTAGCTTGTTGTCAACAATGGATATACGTACGATCGCTAACCATCGCGAGTGAGAGAAACAACGATGCCTATAACTCGGAAATAGCCGCATGTCGGAAGTGTGGCATCATGCGAGGCGTTCGGATTCTTGGAGTTTAGAATTGTCACACTTGTACTTTTCACGTATCTTCTGGTAATTATTATTAGATTACTATTAATAGAATAACTATTAGAATTCCACCGATTTGGTTAACGTCGCCAGTTACCGGACTTCGACTTTTACAGAACAACTGGTCATTCACTTAACCAGCGCATAAATCGATGGAATTCTTGATCGTCCGATGCTCGACTCGTATTGTAAGGAAAAGAAATGTTTTCGTTGTCTCGATCATGTTGGTGATACCCAAGCTTCGTGTAATCGTTACCGACCCAAGCAGGCGCGCCGATGTCATGATTAATGATCAGGCGCGTCCTTCGGATGGTCATTCTCACGTTTCTGCTTCCGTGCGTTGTATGCACGCCACTATTCCTGACACAATTTCCCCGATTAATTATAGGCAGCGTGAGCGCGAGGTGGCACTTTTTTTTAACGCATCTGTCGTTTCACCTTTAGCATTAGAAATCACGCAGGCAATTTGCGGACGACTCGTCTCTTCGGTTTTTTAAATAAAATTCCTCCTTCTGTTTATTCTTCTTACACTCACCTCAAATTGTCACCACGATAATAACACCTCAAAACAAAATCTATTGGAAAGTCGTTTTTTGTTCAGGCTTGCATAGATTCTTTAAAGTAGTATTTATTACTTATTTTTGTATTAGATTAACAATAAATATCCAAGTAATATAATAGACCAGAAACAGAGGTACATAGAAAATCTTGTCAACGTAAATTACCTTTAGAAAGTGCAATTTATCCACGTTGATTAATAGCAACGTGGTCCTTGCTATCGCTATCAGATCTGATAGATGACTGCATTGATAAAGCCGAGCGACTATAAATTCACTTTCTTAATGAAGTCGATAATTCCACCTAATGGCGGTATGAACGGCAGCATAACTCGCGCTGTGGGCACTAGTGGACGTTCAAGTAATAGTTACTGATAAATGGTTCCCTATTCGTTCACCCTTTTTGTCGATCAACCCAATTGGCACTTCATCAATGCAATTTTGCGCTTTTCATCTATTGAAAGTTCGAAGAAAGTGATGAAAATTATTGATCGTGTAGTTTGATCGATACGTAATGTGATGCTATTTAAAGACGTAAATGAACTAATTAACTGTGAGGTTCTAACACAAGTTGTCTCTCCATATTCGTTTAGAGGTAGATTTAGTGAATTTTAAAATACGATATTAATAACGTTTAGGTGATTCGTTTTATTGAATGCTACCACTGGCACGTGACCCCGTTGCCTTAATCTAACCCAATCGTTGTAATCTTTCTGGTCGTTCTCGGGAAGTGTCTCTATGCCAGAAAAAAAAGATGCCCGATCGGAAATTGTTCCAGTATTTCACGGTGATTCGTTTCGCTCCGACGCGTTCCATATGGCTAAAAATAAGAAAAAAAAGGGAACAACGAAGAGGATTATGCACCGACTTTCCATTCTTTATGGAATGCAATTTCATGATACAGACTTTCTATGCTCCTCTCTGCACCTCTTACTTGGCCCCACCCATCCGGCCGATTATCATTCCCGATCAATTCTTACCTTTTTTCCATGGCCCATTGTTAAGAATTCTTGAAAGATTCCCACGAGTGGATGTACTCATCATTTATTATCTACTGAGTTTTTAATAAATTGTTTAATCTGATATATCGAAAAATGATTTAAAATAATGCTAAAACATCTCTCATTCGAATTTCAAATTTGAACCTCGCTTACATTATCGATGGTAAAATAAAATGTCAGACAATTAATCAAAGTTGACGTACACTTCTTTTACAAGTTTAAATTAGATGCAGTGAGAACTTTTCTGGTTCGAAACAATTTGGAAAACACCAATTGCGCTAGATAAAACGTAGATGGGCTCACAACAGTGTAATTTATTTTCATGCCTAATGATCATTGCTTACTGGAAAGTAGGTAATAAACGTTCGTAAATGCAGAACTATAATAGATTTGCTAACAAACTGGCGTAATTATATTTGGTGCGGAATGTTTGCGCGCTAGTTTCACAAAATTCTTTATATCAATTAGGCAGTTTTATTTTATAGTACGTGTATCTCGTGCGAGTAATCGTCTGTCTAACGTTACGACCAAGACACATTTATTTGGAAAAATACATTTTTAATCGGCAGTTTTGAAAATTCATCAATGGAATTAATCTACGGTATTAATGAAGCTGGTAGACATGAAGCTGGTGTTACTGTTGAAAGAGGAAAAACCGCATGACTTTTGTTTACTCGCGTCGAAGTGAACAGCACCGATG